CGGATCGGGCGCGCGGGCCGTAGTTTGGGGACAGCTGTTATAAAGGGTCTTGGTTTCTGGGTGTGTTTGCTTCTGACAGGCAGTGTTGGACTTCAATTATGGAGGATCTCGCAATTATAAGATCAAATGAATAAAGCAACTGTAAGGCTCTTTAACTGACTATCATATGTATAACAGGTCATTCACTTGATAAACTGATAAAGTGGGTGCAATGCGCCACCGTAAAAAAATTGTATATAGCAGTAAACAATGCTCAAAGGAGAAAAAGATTTACCAAGATCAAAATTATTCCACACTGGGGAAAACTTTATAATTTCGCAAAATTCCAGCCAACAAACCCACGACATGTTGATACAGTTTGTGTCCTTATAAAACACACTTTGGCGCAGCACATTCAAACGATCCAGTTCCTGTGTTGGTCACGTTATTCTTTCTTAAAGCAATACACGCACCGATGCGGGGTTTCAATCTTGAGCTCTCGGCACTGTGCTGACGCACCAATGTCGCTTGTCCCATCACTAAAACACATAGCCGGTATTTAGAAAAAAATTGCTGTTATTGGCAAGGATCCTTATGAGATTGAGAAATCTGAATGGAGTGAAGATTACCAATTTTTTCCCGAAATCACCTATCCAGATCTTGTGAACTATTTAATCTGTCAGCCAAGCCCTTTTTTCAAACTGAAGGGCTTTCAGAATTACAAGAGTTTGCAGAGCTACGACCGTTTTGTTTGTGGATGGGTACGAGATGTTCGTGTTTACAGCAAGACTTCGAGTGGACATCGGATTGTCAGAGCTAGAGTTATGCACTCTCAGAAGGAGATGTTCGTGTTTACAGCAAGACTTCGAGTGGACATCGGATTGTCAGAGCTAGAGTTATGCACTCTCAGAAGTTATCGGATCCAAGTCTAAACCCATGGATTATCACAGATGGTCAGCCAAAAGTGATTTCAGCACATTGTGATTGCAAGGCTGGACTTGGAGAGAGTTGTTCACATGTAGCATCAGTCTTGTTTTATGTGGAAGCCACAGTCAGACTGAGGGAAGCCAGAT